AGTTTCTATGTCGACGACTATTTAACATCAATTGATAATGTGCAGGATGCAATCGAACTTGCAAAAACCCTTGGTTTATTTCTCAGAAAAGGTGGGTTCAGACTTACCAAGTGGACAAGTAACTGTTTACAGGTTCTCGAATCGATTCATCCAGAAGAGAGAGCAGAAGCCCGAAAAGAGATTGACTTTGAGAGACTTTATACGGAACGCACATTGGGATTATTTTGGAATATTATGGTTGATGCGTTTGAATTTAAAGTTCGCATACCGAAATGCCCTCTCACTAGGCGAGGTATATTGTCGAGTGTAGCTTCATTATACGACCCCTTGGGATTGTTAGCACCATTCACACTTCCTATGAAGCAGTTACTTCAACGTTTGAGTAAATTGGGACTAGGATGGGACGAAGAGATTCCAAGTGAGGAAGGCAAACGCTGGTTAGAGATTTTAAGTGGATTTCAGAGGGTTGAGAACGTTAGTTTTCCACGCTGTGTATTAATCCCACAATCAGATCGCTCGCTCCTGGAACTTCATATTATCTGTGACGCCTCGGAAACTGGATATGAGGCAGTGGCATACATCCGTTCTTACATCGATGCTACTATTATTAAGAAGCTTAAACTTCGTTCTTTTTCGGATGCTACGACTAGCCATGGAAATAGTAGCCATCAGAACCTTAGTAGTGACAGTGATAATAAGGAGATAGAAAGTGTCAGCAGTCCACTTATAGGGACTAGTTTATCAACTTCATCGAATGAGCCTCCTAGTGTTTCGACGCCATCGGACCTCGTCACGAAGGTTAAGTTGATTGAAGATGCACAAGGTTGTGCAACTGTAACTGTTCATATTCCGGTTGACTGTCAGTCGAGTGATGATGAGAAGAAAGTGTTCGATGGTAACGGCCAGTCTACAGCGTTGTGTGATGACGATGCTATTGATGAGCATAAGTCTTGTGTCGCTGAAACGGATGCAAATGCACACCGAATCGACGCGACTTGTCTGACAGAACGGAATCATTTAGACGTTGATAATAAACTGGATGTCACTGATGTGACAAATGAGTTACCGACGATGACGAACACTGATCAAAACTCCTATGTATCGGGAGATGGAAAGATAAATATTGATCCCACGTCATGCTACTTAAGGTCTTCTGGAGACGATGAAATGTCAAAATTGGAAATCCCACCCTTGCATATCATTTATGGGTCAAAAACTTCTGTTGATAAGTTAGCATCACGGACTTCATTGTATCTGCTGATCGGAGCAAGTGGTGGTGGATTGGCGACTCGTCCCCATGATAGAGAATGTAGTCTTTGGATAGGATATGACCAGTTTTACGACGTGTTGTACATGTTCGTGTGGGTTAATTGGATAAGGTTTATACTACCGTTAGGTCATGCTACGATAGATAGGGGAATCAAGGGCCTGATGGGAATGTACAGGTTCATAGTTTGATAGGTCATATCCATGTTGGAGGGCGGGTAGGCGTACTGCTGTAAGTCCTACTCGTTCTTCCGGTGTGGATTAGGGGATGAGAATGAACCGTAAATTGAAGTGTTAGAAAGGGCTTGTTTTGCTTAGGGGGATATTGTGGGCCGGCGTAGAATTTATATTGAATGTTTGTTGTTGATTGCTTGTGATGCACATACTTGGATTGTTGTTATATATTTTTGTCGGTGAAAAGAATCAAGGTTCTTTTGGTCGGGAGTGTTACGGGAGAAACGAAGACATTTTGCTGATCAAAACCTTCATGTATAAATATCATTAATTTCACTGTTTTTGGGTACATTTGTTTTACTTAACTTGTGAACTTGTTTGAATTATTATTTGCGGACATTTTGGACTCCCGTTTCTCTTTGTTGTTCGTTTGCAGTTTTTTGCTCCAAGAGCTAATAAATTAGAAGAACGACATTGGTCGTCTATTTGTAATACAGTATTTTGGTCGAATTTGTGATTTGGAATAAACTTTGGTATCTACTTTGGAGTTTCGTTCTTGGTTTAAACATTTGGGGACTGTGAATTACAAATAGCTCGACAACCGTGCTTCGTAAGATCAACGAGCAAAAAACTGGACGTAACGTATATATATATATATATATATATATATATATATATATATATATACAAATTTACTTGTCCATACGAAGCTAAGTCAAAGGATTTCAGCAAGAATAAACCTTTTTTCATCAAAGCTATAATTTCGGGGTTTGCACTAACTCCCTTCATTAGTATCGAGATGAATATATATTATTTAAGTACAAATGAACATAAACACGTGGTAGTATTTATATGAAAGTAAAAATTATCATAGATATGTTTCATTACTTGCCCAGTTTCCGTATTCATGAATAAACCCTCTGATTTCAGGTTGAATAACTCCATATTTAAAATATATTGAAACATATGATTCAGTGAAGCGTGTCTTTGCTTAGCGCCTTCGCTCACTGTTTCTTCACCACTCTGAAATCCTTAAATCCTTAACAGGAGTAAGGACTGAGAATTTATCAAATAGAACTTTAACATTATAAAAATTTCGTCTCAGCTTGACGGATTCTAGTTGCTTCTATGCTTAGTTTCTGTCTTTCGACTTCTGTATAGTCCTGGTTTTTAATGAGCCTGGAGAAGAGAACTTCAATAGATTAATCACACCTAGTATATACATATTCAGTGAATACTGAAGTTTCCTACTATTAGGATACGAAATCATTACAGACGCACAATCCCTCTAGCATATGATTGTCATAAGTGATGTCAACGATATGCTATACGCGGATCACTACGGCAGCAAACAGCAATGTGTTTTTCCTTGATTCCCGCAAAATTCGGTTTAACCATACACATTGGGAATCTAGTTCTTAACCGGAGTCTGTAGGCATGAAATGGGTGGAAAGCGGCACCTGAGATTCGGGAAAAAGTGAAGAAAATCTCCAATTTCCGGGGTCTATAAACACAGTCTTCTTTCGTCGACCGTCCTATTTTTGGAGAAATATATTCTAACGATTCAAGGACCGCTTCAGGAACTATCACTTGTCCCAAGTTTCGTGAGATCACATCATACTTTACCTGTTGAGACTATGCTGAGGATACGGTATATCGAACAGCATTCTTATATTCTCTTTGCATTTCATAGTTTGATTGGCCGGCTGGACGTCTTCCGTTTCAGCAAGAGGACTCTTGGATGATACTGGTGTTTCGTGTCTTGATCTTCAGTAGACAGCATGACCATTAGTGATTCCATTTCAGGATATTTGCGATCCCTATCTAAATTTACTCAAAGTATCCTGTCAGTTGTGTCTTGCAAACAGAGAGAAAAGTCAGAACGGTATTTAAGTTTTATGACTATTAAGAAATAGTCTTGACCTTGATTGGTTTTTCAAATTCGTAAATAGATTGAGTTTTGTATCCTTTTCAGGTAACAGTAGGGTTGCACTTTTGATTGCCATGACTTTCGTCGACTGTCTTAACAAATATAGGGTTAGATAGAATGGCAGGGCTGTCAACTAATCTTCTTCTTAGATTTAAGCTGTTTACCATTTTTGAAGGTAATCTTCTGTTCGTTTATTCTCAGAACCGATTCACCTTCTGTCAAAAAATCACAGACCACGGATGTATTTGGAAAAGGTATGCTGGTGAGAATCTGTCTAGTGAGGAATTTTAACAACTTTGATTTTATGATGGTGCTAATTTTCGGAATATGTTTGCTTGTGTTCATTCTTATCCGATCAATAGTGCTGATATCAAGGTCCATCTTCTTCACCGTTTTGCGTATATATGTTAATATGTCCACTGCTGGGTTGATAAATTATTTATATCAAATATAGTACTTTTATTGTGTGGAGTTTGAAAAAGTAAAGATGGTACTTAACGTTTGAAAGGCGCCTGTTTAGTTGAGCCATGTAACTTTGAAGTCTTAAAGATGCTTGCTTATAATATGGAACATTGCTGGCCGCCTTCTCTAATGTTTTCAATGTCCAAAGCATTTGAAGTTTTTCAGGACATATTCACACCTAGACCTTGAGGTTCACAACGTAATCACACCCTCTCTCCAGTGAAGAGACGAGCAACAAAATCGGTGATCGGGTTGAAGAATAAAACTTACGAACGTAGACTCCAGCATTTGTTAATATTCCCTCTGAGTTACAGGAGTATCAGAGGTGATCTGATTATGGCGTACAACACTTTAAGCAAGCCAAATCATCACAACGTGAGCACCTTACCGATGAATCACTATCACTTCTCACGAGGCAATTCTCGAAAAATTGCGCACCAAAGAACGAACACTAAGGTTCGTTCAAACTTTTTCTCATTAAAAGCTGTCGCAACTTGTAATGCTTTCCCAGATGAAGTGACCATAACCGCTTTAGTGGACATCTCTTAGAGGAGACTTAATAAAAACGTACTCACATACGGAATATCATCTCCCTCGTGGACAAGCTGTGCCTGGATCAAGTCTTGGGACCTGCTAGTTGTTATCATTGCCATCTACTCATCTTGATAACCTAATTCGTCCCGCTTGTTTTCCCTGTCTCCTCTCCCTTGCTTACACTTTTATCCTCTCTCACAATCTTCACTACCGATTAATAAACAAAATTATCCATCATTTACTTGGTTTATCCTTGTTTTTCTCGACATTGCAACTAACTGATTTCCAGCCTGGGAATGTGATAGCTGCTGGTATCCAGAAACCCTACTGTCCTGAAACAAACGTATCCATTCAAATTACGAGACATACAAACACACAAATAACTGCCGACTGACTAGAATTAGACAGTCGAGTGGCTAGACCTCCCTCTATTGAACACTTTAAACGCCTGGAATCGTACTGAAACTAGAGTCAATTTATATGGAATCAGGTCAGTATCCTGACAACTGTAGTTATCATTATCTGCAAAAATAAGCGTATAGATACGAATAAATTGCTTATTGTCAATCACTCATATGAATTTCCCAAGATTGACTTTGTTGTGAAAAGGTAATGTATCATTTATAACCTTGTACTTAACCCAAGCGCACTACTCAAAATAATACTGATAATACAAGTTTTGTCTGTTATCATCAGCTTGGTAAGACCTAAGGAGATTAATTCACACGAAGAGTGTTTTCCATTTTTTAGTCTTTTGTTTTTTACCTCTAAACTAGGGTAGGTATGTATAAAGACTGTATGTTATGGAAAAGGTTACCCTGATTTCTAGAACTAAATGTTAGTAGCACGACTTATGTATGCTAATCCAATAATAGTAGTGTATAATATTCAAAAAGGCTTTGCAAAATTCGCTTTAAATTACAGTTTTCTGCTTCTTCATTCCAACGTGCTGAAATATCTAAATCGTGGAAATGCTATCACCTAACATTTAAAATCCATAAGAACTCCAGTACGAAAACCTCTTTTTTAGTCGGGCAAGTGATTCTCGCCTCTTGTAACAGGTGTTAGAAGTGTAAGAGGAAATTCAATCGATATACACCTCTAATAATCATCAAAAAACCCGTAGACCGCTATAGTGATCTGTGAGTCCACAGTTTCTTATTTAAGCTCTGATATTAAACTCAAATAGCTACGTATATTCATTTGGAAGCTAAGCTTGGTAGTGTCGTAAATATTGGTGCAGTGTATTGTGATTATGATATTTAATTGTGCATACTTACTAACAACAGTAAACCAGGGTTCTTAATTTTTGAACTGACGTGGCCGACTTATCTTCTATTAGAGGTGTATGTATTTGAATCAGTTGTCTTCAGATCACAAATGTAAACCTAAAGAACACAGTATAATGAGTTGATGTATTCTCGTCAATCTTGTGACGCTGTTCATAAAGTCAGTAAGAGGAGGTTTGCTTTACGCATGATTATAGTTTGGGAGAAAATACACCCTGTGAGCTTGTTTTTAAAGCTTTTTGAAGAAGTCCAAAGAACACTCAATGACGAGTTGTTGAGACAAGTTGTTCGAGAAAGCCTACTTTTTTGAAATTTAGGTAGACCTAATTTCCACCTTCTACTTCAAGTATCCAGTTCAGTATAGTCGTTGTATATAGAAAATGCTAAATCTAATCCACATATATTATGTTCTTTCATAATCCCTTGCTATCTCGAGTAAGAAGTCTTTGTTAGTGGCCTCTGTTGAATCTACAATACATTTAAGATAATCAATTATATATCGATTACAATAACTATAGTTTAAGAACTAAGTGATTCTCAATCAGTCAGTCAGTCAGTTACAACGCAGAGCTTCGTACATGAGTACATCAGTTCAGGTTGCCATACTCCATCAGCATAGAGACGCAACTGTCAGTTCAAATCACTTAGCGGTAGAGATAGTAGAAGTATTAGCAGTAATATAGAAGATTAAGGTTCGAAGATATGATTCCAGAAGTATGATTCAGTGAGACAACTTTAGAAATAGAAAGATAGAGATTCTTAGTAGACACATCATCAAAACCGCACTAAAAGTTCATGAACAGAATTCACAATGAATAAGTTAAGGTTTCAAACGTTTTTCTTCAATAAAGATCGATCTTTCTTCCAAGTTGTATTTGAGAATATCACATCCCCAACATGTGTTGTTACAATAGACTCGGATTTTGTTGTGAAAAGCACTGGTAATATTACGACATATTTTACTAATTTTCAGTTCTGAGTAGATTTAGTGTCAAATATCCTTTCAATCCATTGTTACATTTTTGGTTGTTTGTTTCCATCAACGCTTTATAACTTTCCAGTATAAAAATACACTTATTACTTATAAGCTTTATTTTACATTATATTCACTTCATTCAACTATTTTCCTGTTTGTTGAATAGTCTGTTTTTTGTTGCTTTCAGTTTTTTGATGAAAAAGAAAATTTTACCATACTCTAGTTATAGATAAGTGGTGTGTGATTGGTTTCTTGACCTAAAGATTATGACTTCTTTCGGAAAATATGTTAGTAATTTTGTCAAGACTGCGGTTTCGTCTATTTCACCTAATAAAGTAATACCTTATACTTTAAGTCAGTATGAATCTGAATACGAAGAGTAAGTCCATTTTAAATATTCATATATTTGCAGTTGTGAACAATTACTACATCAAAAGTCAATTTATTACTTCTACAAAGTGGCTAATCATTTTGATATGATTTATTTACCTGGATCAGTTGGCATTCCAATCAACGGAGAGACTGTTTATGCCTACAGGTGCCTATCTACTATCAACTATCGAAAATTTTGTTCTTTTTCAATTTCTCTAGTTTATTTAGATTTCAAGGTGAACAAGAAGCGGGCGTTGTTGTATTTCTACGATACATAGAAGTTTTGGATCCTTTTCATCTAGCCTGCATAAATATGAAACTATCTATTGATCGTACACATTTGGAAAAAATAACTGCCTATTGTCGAAACCAGTGTGGTTGGGCAGCTGCTCATGTAGCTGCAGCAATGTCGTGGCATGAGGTTTTTTTAAGTGAATCAGTAAACAAGTAGGCTTATGGAATCTTGTTAGCCGAATAATTTTAAATTTCAGCCTTCTAAATATGTATGATCCTCTTTCTGGTCTAACTCCATTAAGGGTTGCAATCAAAGAGAATGATGAGGAAACAGTTAGGTTTTTAGTAACCTTAGATAATATCAAAGCAACTGAAAAAGATGAAGATGGTAATACTGTTCTCCATTTGGTTTCGGGAGATACTTCGGTGAAGATTTTATCTGTGAGTCAGATGTCAGTATCATTTCTTTGAAACAAATATCTGGTTATAGTTAACAATGTCTGATATATTTGGTTTTATGACATATATTTCAAGCAAGCCCAAACCATTTAAAATGTTGTGAACAGAAGATATAATTAACTATCACAAACAGCCGTAATATGTTACTAAGTGATGTCTATAGACCTTATCCTCACCAAATCGCCGGCATCCCTAGTTTGGAAGGTTTGGTCTAAACAGTGCCTTCTTATTCACACTTTATCTTCCTCAAAGTTTTGAGCCTCATTACTACGTATCATTTACTGTCCCTCTAATTCATCGTTTTTCGAACTATGGTCTCTAATATCTAATCTTTATTAATATTACCATTACTCTGCTACTTTACTGTCGATCTTGTCAATTTTGTCTCACCTTACTATCATGGATCGACAGCTGGGACCGGCCTCTGTGCGCCATACTGAATGATCATTTCACTTATCTGGATTCCCACTTACCTGATGATGCAGTATGCAGTAGGGAACTTTCAGCACAAAGTACTCCAACAAAGTTTTGTTAATCCACATTTGATTTTAAAAATCAAACTATTTCTAAAAATACTCTTAATAAGCCTTCGCGTTCTTCGTCATTGATGTTTAAGGCTGGATTTTGACCAATATCTCATACCATATGTACACTCTGAGCGACTACCTTTTTATTAACTGTAGTTATGAGCTTTTTATACACTTTTGGTTCCAATGAAGACCTAAAAAATGAATCTTATTACTGTCCGACAAATTATTTTATGTACTGTCTGTCTTCAACAAAAGGAGAAATGTCATCTAGTTTAACTAGTCTGTAGTAGCCTTTGAGTTCGCTAACTCTCAGCTACCAAGTGAGTAGTGTATCGAATCCAAATCGTCATAGTGGGTCTAGAACGTAACAACTTAGTCGTGACATATCAGCTATTTACTTGTCGGCTAGTTTGGAAAGATTCCAGATTGAAGTATTAAAAGCCAACCATCCTCATGTCCAGCTAATCCGCATTTATTAACCAAGTGATGATTACTGCTTTAATATGGATTTCTAACATCATTCTTGATTATTGATTTATCTAATCGCTTTTCAGCCAGCTGGAGCGTGAACAAAGTTTTTAGTTGAGCTGCAGATTTAATTTTCTGAAGTAATTTTTAATTACAGTTTTCTCGAAGTCCAAAACTCTTGAAAATTCTCTTGACATTTTAGAGCTTATACTTTGTATGGTCTCTACAAATCATGACTGTTGACGTGGTCTCATGTCCTTGAGAATTCGTTATGCCGGCTTATGGCTGGTTAATTCTTATATATTGTTTGTATTTCAGGTGTTATCAAAAAATCTGTTAGTGTTGAAGTCAGTGATGATCCTAAATTTGAATTCTTCATAAATAGTAAAATACCTCTTCAAGAGAAGTGGATTATGCATTATCTTTTTGATATTATAATACTGTTTCCTCCTGTCACTTTACGTTACCGCCATTCGGTTTTGTACAGAACGTTTCTTGTTATTCTATTGCTTTCTATTTTTTGACGTTATAGTAAATAATAGTAATTAATGCTATATGATTGGCACTTATTGCTGTTAGTTCCTTAGTCTACTATTTGCGCCAAATCTTTTAATTTAGACTAATTATTTGTTTGCGTACCATTGCTGTTTTAAAAGAGCTAGGTTATTAAATGATTGTTTATGAGATATCCTAGGTGTAGGGTTAGATAAACTTATGTAATAATTTAGTGTGTTAATGCTGTTATTTTTTCTGAAAATATATCATTTTTGATGAGACTAATCATCTACTCATTAACCGTGACGATTTTACCCCGGCATTTTTCAGTTTTCGCAGCACTTGAGTGTTACTGTTAATCCTAGTTCTGAAAACAATAATTTCACATAGTTCTATGTGAACTAAAGAGTGGTTGTACTTGTGACTCAAGATCCGATCCATATACGTTCGTAGCGTTCTTAAATTTTTTGCAAGTAGGGTCGTGCAAGAACAAGATTTCAGCGTTTATATCTTACGTTTCACTATTTTAATAACAACTGTCAACATCGAATTAACAGTTTCAATACCATTGTCATTTGTATAAACTTTGTTTTTGAATAGTACCTAGGCTGTAAGACTTATTTCACTCTGTTTTTAAGCTTGATCTCAGGATCCTTTTACTGAAAAGGCATTCTATTATTTTCATTTATTACATTTCGTTCTATGAATGTGTAGTTGAATCCAAGTGACTGATTTCTCTGTAGTTCTTTGTTTTCTCAGGTCTTCGGCTTTGTATAGCATTTGTGTTATTGAACTAAGTATTCACTTTGATTAAAAAAAATGTTTAGGTTTCCAGTATAGTTGAATCAGTTTTAGTCATTGAAATTTTCACTTTTGTTTGAATGCTTGTATCTTGTGTATGCTTAGTTGTTAGTTGAATTTTTATGTATTTGGGCAATGTAGATTCACATACTGCCATCCATAATATGTAGTTTAACTAACCTCATCAATTAATACAATTCCTTTTGAGTTTCTTATCTAATTGTTTGATTAAATATTTATTTGGCAGCGGATACGCGTTTTCATTGTTCAGTCGTTACTGCTCATTAATAGTATGTTCTGTTTTGTGATCATGGTAATGGTTCTCCTTCTTTACTGTTGTTGGCATATTACTATTAACTTGATGTAATATTAATACAGTCTACTTCTGTAAACAATTCTAATTTTGCTTGACTATTTAGTTTTTTCCTTACGAAATTTGTGTAAATAAAAGGTAAATAAAAGGTTGTTATTTGGATACTGGTTTCTTGCCAACCTAAAAATATTTTTATCATGACCATGATTTCTCACTTCAACTCGACAGTCAACACAAATGATCAAAATAACCTGTGATAATGAATCATCAAATTGTTTTCTAATCAAGTACTCTTTTTACTAAGGTTTTGATTTGAGTTGTGAAAACTAATCAGCTTATGATATTCAAAACTCCGAAATCGCCTTCACGTGTGATTTTCATCAAAACTGTTTCGTTCTTACATTCTCGATTTGCTTTATCGCATGTCTTTTGGTTATTCTCAGAGTAATTAATCACTTCATCTTACTAATGTTCATATACAGTTCTCTGCATTTAAGCGGCGATATGAGTACATTATAGATAGTTCGTATTCATCTCTCTATAGAACCATAAAGTGTGATAATGAAATATGGGTAACCTTTTTTATTCTTCCTAATAAATTACAATAATTTCCATAACCAAAATGTAGTTATTAAACTAAGACTCACGTTCCTGTTTATTTATACGTCCTAAGCTCTGTGTATAAAGTTGGCGTATGTATACGGTGGTGACTTGTATGTCTGTTAGACATTACTACTGAAAGATGAATATTTACTGCAACAAGTTGTAGTCATGTGTACATGTACAGTAATTAGTCTATAAAAAAAGAATTCCAAATGTATTCAACTGTTTCTGTTCTTTTGATTCTGTTTTTCCGTTTCGTTGAATCCTGTGAAACAAAAAATAAAATGATGTGAAAACCTGTAGAAAAATAGTTGACTTATTTTGTACAGCAAACAAACAGATTGTGAACTATCCTTAGGAATGAGCTCATAAACAATACGAGTAAACCTTATTGCTAATTTATCTTTGAATGTGAAAATAACATGGATTTATCAAGGTGTAACAAGCGAAATCTTACTACAAGGATGTGGAACAACAAAAATAGAACCAATGTCTTGAATACACATTACTCATTTCTCTCCTTCTCTCTCTATTTTTATTTTTCTTTGTTTGTTGGTTGATATTCAGCTACTTCTTGAAAATCTTCAAAATTTAAATGTGAATGCTTTGAATAAAAAAGGCGAATCTCCTCTACATATTGCTTGTCGTAATAATTCTATGGAATGTATTGAAATACTGCTTAAAGCTGGTTGTAATCCTATGATTGGTGAATTCGAATCATTTCCTATTCATATTGCTGTCAATAATGATTCACTCGAGTAAGTATAATGTGAAATTTCTTTTTGTATTTGTCCATAAAAAATCTACTTGTATTCTCAGGTATGTGATTGCCTTTTCACTGGTAATGTTTACATGTTTAAGAGTAACTGTTAATGCTGTTCATAGACTTTAAACTTAGTAGTTCAAGTATTCAAGCCTGAACTATTGAATCATATTTTTAAAGAACAGTTCAGGAACTGATTCAGGTTGCTTGGTATTATTATAAATCACTGTGTACTTTATATATGACTGATATATCAACGTACAATCTTGTATTTATTTACGGATTTGAATTAGTTGTTTTCATGTTTTGACATATAGAAAAAGGCAAGTTGATAATCGTGAGGGACGTTGGTTGATGGTAGTTACAGATATTTCTTAACATTCAAACAAAGTGTGTTTATTTGCTAGATTTTGATATACTTGTCCGAGCCTCATTTTCCACGGTTCATTCGGTCAGTCAGCTACAACGTAGAACTTCTTACGTACGTACATCAGTCCAAGTTGCCACACCACATTAACACACAGCGATCAAATTGTCAATTCAAATCTCATAGTAGTAAAAGTAGTAAAAAGATTAGGGGTCGAAGACAATACTGAAGCAGTATAACCCAGAAAAATCAATTTAAAAAAAGAGAGAGGCAAGAAGGTCATAAAGAATTCAAAAGATTAGATTTCGAGAGAAGACTAACAATGGATGCAACCGTGCAATTGCAAACAGTTTTGAGCCATGTCATTTAAGGTCTTTAACCATCGAATACTGTCATTTCGCGGACCCCAACCAAGTAGTCTACATCTACCAACATGACTCAGTCCATTTGTCAGTGGACTTCTTTTGGTTTGACGCCCCTAGCTTTCCTCCAACCAACCCCTACAACCCAAAGCATAGCTCGTTGAGGCAGTCGGTGGTAGGGCATACGTAACACGTCCCAACCACCTCATCTGATAAGGTTTCACTACTTCACCTGCCATCCTTGCCCATTACCCTTTTACCAACAAGTACATTACTTACTCGGTGGTCCCAGGATATACGAACAATGCTTCGGGGACACCTGTGATCGAAAACCGGCAACTTACGAATATCTTCTACTTTTACTGGCCATGTTTCACAGCCATAAGGGAGGACGGAGCAAACTACTGAATAGCAGACTCTTCCTTTAGTTAACCGACAGATATCTCGCGTAGTCAGTCAGTCAGTCAGATGCAACGTAGAACTTCGTACGTAAGTACATCAGTTCATGTCGCCATACCACATCTGCACAGAGATGTAATTGTCAATTCAAATCCAATAGTAGAAGAGGTAGTAAAGGTATTAGAAGTAATCGGAGAGGTTAGGATTAGAAGATTTTATTCAAGAAGTATGATTCAGTGAGAAAAGTTTAGAAAGTCAAAACTAGAGTTGTTGAAGAACCCAGAAGATAAGAATCTGAGAGAACACAAAGAATAAATGCACTGGCGCCATTGCGAACGATTTTGAGTCCTGTCATTCAAGGTCTCTAACCATCGATTATTATCATCTCGCGGAGCCCAACCAGGTAGTCGACAATTACCGACATGGCTAAGTCCACTCGTCAATGACTTCATAGATTTCTGCCATGTTTTGGTTTGGCCACCCCTAACTTTCTTCCAACCTATTCCTACACTACAAAACAAAGCTCGTCGAGGCAGTCGGTGGTTAGGCATACGCAACACATGTCCTAACCACCTCAACTGATGAAGTTTCAATACTTCATCTATTGATCTGCCATTTTTACCTAGCACCCGATTCCTAATAACAGCGTTGCTCACTTGGTTGTCCCAGGATATACGAGCAATACTTCGAAGACACCTATGATCGAAAACCAGTAACCTACGAATATCTTCTACTCTCACTGGCCATGTTTCTCAGCCATAAAGTACGACGGAACGAACCACTGCACAGTACACTCGTCCTTTAGAAAGCAAACGGATATCACGCCGTCGACATAAGTGACGCAGGTTAGCAAAAGCCAATCGAGCCTTCTGTATCCGAGCTGAGATTTCGTCAGTCACCAGGCTATCAGCGCTGATGAGACTCCCAAGATAAGTGAAGCGGTCTACACATTCGACTACTTCACTCCCGATCACTAGTTCAGGTGCCGATGCAACCCAATCTTGAAGCAACATTTTGCATTTTGACGGGGAGAACCGCATCCTGAACATGCTTGCATTGTTGCTTATTGTAGTCAAAATACTCTGCATTTTGTCAGCGTCTTCACCAAATAGAACTATGACATCGGCATATTCTAAATCGATAGACGAGCCTCCTGGTAAAAGGTCTACTCCTAGATTGGTCTCTTGTGCTGTTACGGGTATGAGGGCGGTTGTCACTTCCCGGCTGCCCACTCTGTGGAAGGTTGTTTCTTGAGGGACCTGGACAGGAAGATAGATTGGTGTTGGTCTTGGAGACCTGGGAGCGTGACCGCAGAGTCCAAGGGACAACTGCTTGAGGACGGTCACGCACGGCCTTTTTATGAAAGGTTTTTTGAGTATTAGCTCCGTTCTTGTAGGCCCTTAGTGGGCACCCTTACCGACGGAGACAGAAATCCGTGATGTAGGGTGAGGTGTGACATTTTTAGGGTCGACCTTTTCTAAACCTTCCTTCCTTGTGAGAAGGCAGCATCGCTGCAGATTCTGCTTGTTGTCCAAGGGAAACACCTTACTGCTGGCACACCCCTCTGCAATCAGCAGTACGATTTCGCCGTCAGACCTTGGGTAGCTGCTTTTAGTCTCATCGTTCTCCAATCGACCTGCCTGGCATGGTAGGACCTGCAGGAACATATGTTCCAGCCAGTATAGCTCGGTTGGGTCATCACGATAGGCAGGCACGACCACCACGTCGAGGTAGCAGCTACAGTCGGGGATATCTCGCTTACGTCATAAATGACGCAGTTTGGCAAAAGCCAGCCGAGCCTTCTGTATCTGTGCTAAGTTTCCGTGACATACCAGATCATCAGGACTGATAATACTCGCAAGACGATTGAAGCAGTCAACACGTTCAACCGCTTCACACCCTATCACTAGTTCAGGTGCCGATGCAACCCAATCTTGAAGCAACATTTTGCATTTTGACGGGGAGAACCGCATCCTGAACATGCTTGCATTGTTGCTTATTGTAGTCAAAATACTCTGCATTTTGTCAGCGTCTTCACCAAATAGAACTATGTCATCGGCATATTCTAAATCGATAGACGAGCCTCCTGGTAAAAGGTCTACTCCTGAAAATTCAGACGAGGATAAGGTTATTTCTAGGAGCATGTCTATGATAAAATTAAACAAGAAAGGAGAGAGTGGACATCCCTGACGGACACCACTTCAAGTAAAGAATTCTGTTGACAGTTCGCCATAAGCTCTCACTCGACCAGTGGTGTTCGAGTAGAGAGCTTGTATAAGGTTAATGTACTTCTTTGGTAGACCTTTCAATGACAGACACTGCCACAGAACCTCACGGACTACCGAGTCAAATGCCGCTTTTAGGTCCAGGAAAACAACTATTGTAGGACGCCTAAATGTGTGTCCATGTTCCAGTACATGTCGTAGTGTGAAAATGTGGTTTATAGAGCCACGTCTAGGTCGAAAACCATCCTAGTTTTCTCGAGTTTGCTCTTCACGAGCTTTCGTTAATCGCTGAAGTATTATTGAGGCCAATATTTTAGATACTATATTAGTTAGACTGATTCCCCTGTGATTGTCACAAGAAGACTTTTGTCCTTTCTTATAGATTGGGACAATCAGTCATTGAGACCAATCGGATGGGATTATATCCCAGATTCTACCCAGATTCTATCTCAGTCAACCTAGCTGCTAAAACTGCACAACCATCCTTAAATATCTCAGGGGTCAGTCTATCAGGACCTGCAGCTCACCCTCGCTTCAGATTTCCTAACGCTTTCTCGACGTTATTAAGACTAGGGGGACTTACGTCGACTTGCCATTCAGGATGACTGGAGATCGTGAGTAACCGAAGAATGGATTGAGGCCAGTTGAACTGATCTCTAAAGTGTTCTGCCCATCGATCTCGTCTTCTGGATTGAGAATAAATAATAGTCCCATCATTTTCTGTGATAGTCTCACTTACACTAGGATTCGTAATACCAGTTTCCTTGATAAGTCGGAAAAAATGTCCACTGTTGCCTATCGTCGCTGCCTTTTTCATCGCCTTTTCTTCCTCCATCCACCGCAGTTGACGGTCGTTGCGCAGGCTTTTTATCAGCCTGAGCCTAAGCTGACTTCGTTCTTCATCATGTTCAGAGCCAGGTGGGATGAGTTTTCGGGCACCCATCAGATCGGTGGATGCTACAGAGATCCATGGCTTCATTCTAGCCTTATGGTAAACCTTACTAGCAGATATCACTGCTGTTTCCACAGCCTTTTCGATATCACTCCAACCTGACACCGTATGGGAATCGCTTAAATGGTCGCCTAACTGTCTTTCTAGTTGTTCCTGAAATATATTCTTCACCTTATTATCATTAAGTTAAACCCTAAGAGGCTTTCTTACGGTGTCTTTCCTACGCCCAGTAAGCTTCAAACAAATACGCGCTTGCACTAGGGCATGATCTGAATCTAGACATGTGCCCCACAACGAGCGACAGTCTTCTATCGAACCCCTCCATCGGTGGCTGATGGCAATGTGATCTAGTTGCGTCCAACGTTGAGACGACTTTGGAGGTCGCCAGGTCAATAGATGCTTTTCCTTTTGCCTAAAGTTAGTGTTCGCTAAGAATAGTCGGTTGTCTGAGCATAGCTGCAACAGACGGTCACCATCGTCTCTTCTCTGAGCCGCGACACCATAACATCCACCTAGGTGTCTTTCATTTTCACTTAGTCTACCTACTTGAGCAATAAAGTCACCAGCCATTATTACTATATCAGAGCGCCTAGCTTTTTGGAGGAGGTCCGAAAGCTTTCTGTAAAACTTATCTTTAACCTCGTCTGAATCGCAGTCTGTGTGGGCATAGGCAGATACGATGAAGAGGCA